GTTGGAGGAGGCCTGGTCAACACTCTTAAGGCTGTGCCAGGAGCCACTGGGAGAGGCAGCTCTCCTTGTTCCTGACATGCTACTTGTGTCTTACAGCTCCTGACTAGTCGTGGGGCTCCCTTCTAATAGATGAAGACACGATGAAGACTCTTTTTTTTTTTTTAATATATTTTAATGATTTTGTACAGAGAGGAAGGGAGAGAGATAGAGAGTTAGAAACATCGATGAGAGAGAGTCATTGATCAGCCGCCTCTTGCACACCCCCCACTGAGGATGGGCCCGCAACCAAGGTACATGCCCTTGACTGGAATCGAACCCTGGACCCTTGCAGTCCCCAAGCCGACGCTCTATCCATTGAGCCAAACCGGTCCGGCACGATGAAGACTCTTGAGAAGGAGCCCTAAGCCAGCTCCTCCACTCATTGCCATGATGCCTTATCAAAGGGAAACATGCCCAGGAAAAACCTGGCTGGGAAAGCTCTGGGGGTTAGGACTCAAGTGCCAATGCAGGGGCAGGTGATCTCTTGATGGTCTTTATCAAGCCTGAGTACAAAGACTACAGGTCAAAGAGCAGGGAAGAACCTGACTTGGCCATGCTGGCAAGGTCCAAAGAAAAGCTAGACTTTGGCGGGACAGACTTAGATAGGAAGGACTCGCGAGGAGAGAACAGGCAAGGAGGAAGAGCAGAGCTGGGGAGCCCAGGAGAGACAGAATGGCCCAGCGTAGGGATCCCAGCATCCCATACTGTTGCAGGAAGGTGAGGACTGGGCAACCGTCCCAGCGCCATGTCGGTGATTAACCAGCCTCTGTGCACCTGAAAACACGATTACAGACAAAACAACTCCTTTGAAGTAAGAGTACAGCATGTCTGGGGGGAAAGAGGGGCAAATAAAAGAGAGAGTGGTCTTGCTTTAGAATGCGAACAAGGTTGATGGGAAAATATTACCCACAGGCAAACAGGCTGAAGAAAGGAAAAGGAGGTTGGAAGATAAGACCCATGCTGAGCAGGCACCTCTAGACACCTTGGGCCTTTAGGACGCTGAGGCCGGCCTTGCTGGGCACACAGTCACGCTTTCCTTTCAGAGAGCACACGTGTTCTTCATGGGCTGCACCTGCCTTCTTATCCCCTACCTCAGTGGTCGGCAAACTCATTAGTCAACAGAGCCAAATATCAACAGTACAACAACTGAAATTTCTTTTGAGAGCCCAACTTTTTAAACTTAAACTTCTTCTAACGCAACTTCTTCAAAATAAACTCGCCCAGGCTGTGGTATTTTGTGGAAGAGCCACACTCAAGGGGCCAAAGAGCCGCATGTGGCTAGAGAGCCGCAGTTTGCCGACCACAGCCCTACCTGTTCTCTGCACAAACTCCCGGCCAGTTTCCAAAGAGGCCTGTTCACTTATGGAGTCAAAGCCCCGGAGAAAGCGAGGTGCAGAGGGTTTTTTGAATGGTTCCTCCTGGGAAGCAAAGCTAATCGGGAATGGAGCTGAGCTTGTAACCCAGCATCCTGGAGGCCTGTCCCATGACATAACCCCTGAACCACAGCTCTTTCTGCTGAGGCCATTTGTATTAGAGAAACCTGTTAATTGGGGACGGTGGGGGAGGGGAGTCTCTAGGACGCTAACATGATTTAACACTTGATGGGCTCTGCAAAACCAAGAAAGGGGCTTGGAGCTAATGTAGCCTGATACATTCATCCCTCCACATACATGTTACCAAAATGAGTATACGCGCCGAGACTACATGTGAGGCTCTGGGCTACGGCAGCAGAGACTTTGTGAAACAAAAAGGCGCTTCTCCTGCCTCCACTGGGTCTCTTGTGGTGCCATTGTCTGATGCTAAGCACTCACATAATAACAAAAAACAATACCCCTATGATGGGGGGTGGGGGGTAGAAACTTGATTTGGCACCGCGGTGGTGTTTTCCATGGGAATGGTGGTGGGGGCTGTGGCCATCTGTGGGAATAGTGCAAATCAGCACTTTTTGTAGATTTTCTTCAAGCCTTTGTTTACTTTGGCTTTGGTCAGATCCATGGCCCCGCTTGAAGATTCCCGCTGGGCTTTCTGAGGCTCACAGACCTACGAGAGATGAAATAAGGATAAATAAATCATTACAACACACCCTACTACCACCCCTGCACTCATTCGTGCAGTGTGCCTGTTTCATGTGTGTGTGCGCACATGCGTGCGCACACATGGAAATATAGGTCACAGGATTGCAAATGTGCATGTTGGCCCAGGCCTCCTCCTGGGAATTAGAGAGACCAAGGTTTTGGGGGTCTGGGCTTCCCTGGTTCATTGTCTGGGCTTCCCTGATTCATTATCTTTTCTTTAGGGCTGGGAAAGATCAGGGCTATTTCACACAAATGTCGGTTTTTGCAAAATGGCATTGGATAAAACTCGTCTGGAACTGTAACTTCCTAAAGCCCTCACATATTTATAAATTTTTAAAAATATATGTATTTTATTGATTTTTTACAGAGAGGAAGGGAGAGGGAGAGAGAGCTAGAAACATCGATGAGAGTGAAACATCAATCATCTGCATCCTGCACACCCCCCACTGGGGATGTGCCCGCAACCAAGGAACATGCCCCTGATCGGAATCGAACCCGGGACCCTTGAGTCTGCAGGCTGACGCTCTATCCACTGAGCCAAACCGGCTAGGGCCACATTTATAGATTTTAAACATGAATAACCTGGGTTGTGATTCTGATAGAAACAAGAAAGTCAGTTATCATTGTGATAAAGGATGGTGAACGTTTATCTTGCAGCTCTTCGGAATACATGAGTTTTACAAAGTCAGTGACTGATTGTTCCTGCCACACCAGCAGCCTATTATTAGTACGTATTACAACAGGCCCTCACCTAACATTGTCCATAGGTTCTGCGACTTTAAGCACAATAACTTATAAGAAAACCCATTTTTCCCATTGGCTAGTTAATATAAACAAGTTTCTACAGCATCTCACTAACATAACAAAATGACGTTATTTGAGGACCTGCTGTATTATAAAAGTACAAGAGGCTTTTCTGAAGGCTGTGTGTGTGGGGGGGGGGTGCACTCCAGTTTCTATTAGTGCGTGTTTTACAAAGAAATGCACTTTCTCTCCTTTTCCCAAAAAGTTTCCATTTCCTGCAAAAGTCTTCCTGACACCTGTGTGTGAAGCTGCCTCCGAGCGGGGTGGCTGGGTGGCACAACTCTAGGGGGCAGCATCCCTGTGTCTTCTCTAAAATGGTCCCCTGGGAGGGGAACTCCAAATGGCCTTGCCAGGTGACAGTATTTAGAGGGGCCTGATGCAGAGATGTTTTCCAACGAAGTGCAGAAGTCTTGTTTCCTGCAACATATGTTCTCTTGAATGCAGTAGGGCAGTGGTCGGCAAACTCATTAGTCAACAGAGCCAAATATCAACAGTACAGCGATTGAAATTTCTTTTGAGAGCCACATTTTTTAAACTTAAACTTCTTCTAACGCCACTTCTTCAAAATAGACTTGCCCAGGCCGTGGTGTTTTGTGGAAGAGCCACACTCAAGGGGCCAAAGAGCTGCATGTGGCTCAAGAGCCACAGTTTGCCGACTACTGCAGTAGGGGACCCAGACTCTTGTCTGGGTCTGGATTGGAAGAAAAATATGTGCCAGGTAGTGTGCGCAGGGCAGATACAATTTAATAAGACTTTTTTTTTCTAATTTTTTCTCATTTAAATATATTTTTTATTGATTTCAGAAAGGAAGGGAGAGGGCGGGAGAGAGAGAGAGAGGGAGGGAGGGAGGGAGGGAGGGAGGGAGGGAAAGAGAGAAACATCAATGGTGAGAGAGAATTATTGATCAGCTGCCTCCTGCACACTCCACACTGAGGATCAAGTGGCAACTGGACATGTCCCCTGACTGTGAATCGAACCATGACCTCCTGGTTCATAGGTCGACGTTCCGTACTGAGCCACACCAGCCTGGCAAGAACAAGACTGTTATTAGTGCTTCATAGGTGGGGAAACTCAGGCCAGAGATTAGGGGATTTGCCCAGGCTCACACAGTCTGTCTGCATCAGAGGTGGGACTTGAACCGTTCTCTCTGGCGCTCCCCAGAGGCCTTAAAATATCTTCAAATATCCCTGACTCCCAGGGCGCTTCCCAGGTCTGGAAAGCACCCAGGGACCCTGCAGACCCTGACTGGGTGACAGCAGCAGCGGTGAAAATAATGGCAACTGGGGTCTTCAGAGCCAAAAGGTGGAATTCAGCTGGAGGGGGGTGGACCTGGGCTGCCACTCCTGCCTCTCTGTCAAATAAAAGGGCCAGGTGTGACGGCCCCCTAGTGTGAGCTTTGCACAGCTGGACCAGGGCTGGGAAGTGGAGTATGGAGACATGCTTACATCTCCTCCCCTTCCTGGATGAAACTTTGCATTTGAAGGGAGAAAGAAAGAGAGTAAATCTGTAACCTGGGATTTGTTGGCCTGGGGAGGCCCTTTGAAGGCACAAGGCCTTGCGTGTGTGTGTGTGTGTGTGTGTGTGTGTGTGTGTGTGTGTGTGTAGGGGTGTGTGTGTGTAAGTATTGGGGGGGGGGACTTCAGATGACATGTGATGGATTTTCTTGATTGGGCTTTTATTATTATTATTTTTTTAAGTCATACTGCTACCATTTATTGGAGACCTATTATGTGCCAAGCCTTGTGCTGTACGCTTTTCAGATGAGGTAATATTTTGATGTGAAGGGGGAAAAAATAAATAGCTTCGTAGTTTGTTTTTATGCAGGTGCCTTCAGGGGCAACGGGTATTTTTTCCATTCCGGTTAGAACACGGGGCGCTGTGCACCGAGGCAAGCTTTGCGGCGGGGCGGGGAGGGGTGCGGGGACGGCCGGGGGGGCGGTCCCCGCCTCGCTTAGTCTCCACCTTTTTTATTTTGACCGGCCGGCTGGCGACGACGATCTCGCACTAGGACCCAGGCGGCAGAGCGCCTCCGTCTGTCCTGTAGGTTCATTCAATCTCCCCTACACACAGACCCGCTGCGAGCGAGCGAGCGAGGCAGACGCGGACGCGCACTCACACTCGGGCTCACCACTGCGCGCAGCGAGGCTCGGCGAGTCCGATCGCCTGCTCGCCAGGGCGCCTCCTCCTCCGCCCCAGCCCCGCCGGGTCGGTCCCCCCGGGGCCCGAGCCCAGCCGGGCCGCGCAGCCCTCCCCGCGGAGGACGAGCTCGGCGGCCCCCGGCCCCCACGATGGGCAAACGCGGGCGGCCGCGCAAGGAGGCGAGGGGCGAGGGCGCGGGGCTGGCCCCCGCCGCGCCCCCGGCCGCGCCCCAGCCCCAGCCCCAGCCCCAGCCCCCGGCCCCGCCGGAGGAGCCCGCGGGGCCCAAGCTCAGGTGCCCCTTCTCGGACATCTTCAACACCAGCGAGAACTCGATGGAGAAGCACATCAACACTTTTCTGCAGAACGTGCAGATTCTGCTCGAGGCCGCCAGCTACCTGGAGCAGATCGAGAAAGAAAACAAAAGTAAGTTTGGGGCGCCCCCCTTCTGCCCCCCCGCTCCTCCTCGGGGCCCCGGCTCTTTCTTCCTCGCCCACTTGGGGCGACCCCTGTCGCCTGCTCGGCCCGCGTCTCCCTCCCCCCAACACCCATCCAGCTCCTCGGCAGGAAAAACCGATGACACGGGAGAAAGGACACGCACGCACAAAGCTGCTGCTAAAGATGTAACAAAGACGACGGGGGGGGGGGGGGAGGTGGAAGCTGGGGGGGGGGGGTGTCCGTGCATCTGTCTGTCCGTCCCCCGCAGGCTGAGAGGAGGATCGCCTGGACGAGGAGCAGGGGAGGGAGTGTTGTTGTTTTCTGACAACTGAGCCCGGAGCTCACTCAGCTCTCCGAGGTCGCCTTTCTTTCTTCCCTTTTTTTTTTTTTTTTTTCCTCCGGAGCCTCCTCGGGCAGACAAGTGTTGTTTTTCTGTCGCTCGATCCTGGGTGGGGTGGGGAGGATGAGCAGCCGAAAGTTGGAAACCCGTAGGCAGGCAGTGCTCAGCGGTTTCGGAAAGGGAACACACAGGCGCGCACACGACAACAATAACAACGGCAGCCGCCGCCGGGGAGCCCTGCGCGGCGTGGGCTCGGGCCGGCTCGGCTCGGCTGCTCCCTCCCTCCCGGCCACTTCGCTTTTCTTCTTTCTTTTTTTTCTTTTTCTCCCCTCTCGCAGCAAGGGCTGGGCTCAGGCCATCGCGTCCCCCCGGTCCGTGCCCCTTCGCCTCGGTTGCCCCGGGGAGCCCCCCCCCCCAACCCCCTCTTCCCCCCAGAAGCAGGCCGGCTGGGCCGAGCAGCGCCCGCAGCTCGCCCCGAACCCGCCGTCCTCCGGGGGAACTTGGCGAGGGGGCCGCAGCCAGAGAAGGAAACTTTGGGATCTCGCAGGAAACAATAGTTGGGGAAGAAGGTGTGGGCTGTTGTGTGTGGTTTCTTTATTTTCCGGGCGACGGCGGCTCCCGAGCGAGGAAGGCAGATGCCTCTCTGGCCGATTTCTACCGTCCACCCCACCGTGCCACCCGGCTCCGGTGGCGAGGGATGCGGTGGGGGGTGGGGGTGGGGGGAGAGAGGGTTGGGAGCCCCACCCCGGCCTGGCCTCCTTTTTTTATTCTTTATTTTTGTTTTATTTTTGCTCCTGCCAGCCGGGTCCCCCCAGTCCTCCCCAGGCAGCCGGCTCTGCGCCCTAATGGGGGCCCGCGTGTGCGGTGTCTCCGGCCCGGTCCTCACGGATAATAGCTGCGAGGCGGGGGCGGGGGCAGGGGCAGGGGCAGGGGCAGGGGGAACGACAGACCAGAGAAAACAGTCTGTGCAATCTGTCCGAACAAGTAGCAAGAAGGGGGGTGGGAGCGAGGATGGTCCGATTGCAACGTGTCAGATATTGTAACACCCCCCCCCCCCCCCCCCCGCAACAACACACAACAACAGCAGCAACCCTCCGACACAAAAACACCTTCCCGGACCGACACCCCAGGCCTCCGGGGTTCACGTAAGCCTGTGCTGGCAACGCAATTTTTCAAAAGCTGTAAGGCAAAAACAACAACAACAACGAGGGTTTGTGTTGGGGGGTCGGCGATGCGATCTTTCCTTTCTCTTCTCTGGTTTTCCCGGAGAGCGCCCGCCTGGGTTTGGAGAAAGGCGCATCGGCCGGCTGTGCAGGCAGATCGGATGGTGGTTGTTATTCGGGGTGTGTGTGTGTTGGGGGGGGGTGATGGTGGTGGCGGTTGTGCATTTGTCAGGGGACGCGGAGAGGACCTGGTTTTGTTTGGTGTGTTTGCTTTTGTTGGAGGGGGAGGGGCGCAGCTTCTTTAGCCTCCCCCCCCCCCCACCCCCCCGCCCGCCCGGGGTTCCCTGTTCTCCGGAGCCCGTCTGGTTGCGCCGGCATCTGCAGGGGCGGAGAAGGGGGGGGTGCACCTTAAGAGGGCACCTTGGAAGTGGGTGGCCCCCCCTTTCCCAGAGGGGTGTATTAAGTAAGAGGAGGCTTGCTGGAGCTACCACCGCGTCCGGCACCCCTTGGCACCCGCAGACAATCGGAGACCTCAGCCCCCACCCCCGGCCTTCCTGGCCGCCGCCACCTCCTTGTTTACCCCAGACGGGGCTCCGGCGTGGCCACTAGTCACGTAAGCAGAGGGCCGGGCTGCCCCGCTTGGGGCGGGACAGCAGCAGCGCCGGGCTCCCCGGGCTGAGCGAGCCCAGTGGCTTCCTCCCGAGGCGTCCGCCGGCTCCCCAAGAGGGCCCGGAGCCTCGGCGCCCCAAAGTCAACTTGGAGTGCGTAATCGCGCTCGGCCCCGCTGCACACCGCCCCCCTGTTCTTCCTCTCCCCCCCCACCCCCCGCACCCCGCGGGGGTATTTTTAGCTCTCTTGCCTCTTTTCGCCGCCGCTCTTGGGCTCCGCATGACGTGATGTCAACAGCCCCCAGGTTTCCCCGAGAGCGTGGGGCGCCGCGCCGCCGTCCCCGGCCGCCGAGGCCCCACTCCCGACCCCAGCCAGCGGCTCGCGCAGGCCAGGGCGACCCCCAGCCAACTACGGGCGACCCTTTGCTGGGCCCTCAGTTATTTCCCCTCCCCACCCCCCTTTCAAACTGGGAAGACCCTCGGTGGCCACTTTATCCACTCCATCACCACCACCACCACCACCACCACCCTCCCGGTCCGGGTCCGGGCCCGGGTCCGGGTCCAGGTCCGGGTCCGGAACCCGGGGGCCCTAAGCGGCCTCCTGTGATGGGGGCGCTCCTCGGGCCCGCGGCGCCCGCTGTTGTTTTCCGCTCGCCGCACACAATGCCCGCGCGTCCCGGCGGCCGCGTGTGCACAGCCCGGCGTGAGCGGGGGGCGGGCCGTGCGTGCTCCCGGCTCGGGCACTGCGGGTCCTCCGCGCGCGCGGGGCTTGTTTTGCTCCGGAGCCCCGCTCTCCGAGAGGCTTACATCATCCGCCGTGGGGGGGGGGGGGGGGGGGATGGGGATCGGGGCGTTCGATAGGATTCCAGCGTTTCCTAGGTCCCTGGTTTTTTGTTTGTTTGTTTGTTTGTTTGGAAGGAAGGAAGCAGGGACCCTCGCTTTGTACTTAGTATCATGATTGGGGGAGGGCTCAAGTTTTGTCTTCGGGGCAAGTTCTGGGTTCTCTTATTTTAGGTCACTCCTGCAAAAGGGCACGGCCAGCCTGCTCAGGTGCACCACCTCCCCGCCTTCGTTTCAGCCAGTTCCCCTGTAATCACTTGATCTCAGTTTCTCCGCCTTCTCCTCCAACCCCCTCCCAGCGTGAGACACATGGTTTCCACATGGAGACAAACTTCTTTCCTCCGACTGGACTTGACCTAGCTGCGTCGCTTAGCCAATCGGCAGCGGCAGCCTCCTGTGACGTCACGCGTTGCTGAGGCCAGAGACAGGGGGCGGGGCCAGGAGGCAAGCCAGGCAATCTCTGGGAGTTGTAGTGCGGCTTAGCCGGTACAAGCCCTTCTTAAAGGGACGCTCTTCTCCCCGGAGATGGCTGTCGAGGCTCAATTCGATTCTCCATTTCAGGTTCTGTAAGAACTTCCTGAAATGCACCGATAGACCCTGGTCATGAGTTCACAAGGTTCTATTTTTACAGTTGTTTGCAAAGTACTTGTTTGGCAGGAGCTTGCCTTGTTTTCCATTCTCACCAGAGCTACTTTTCATTGCCTAGTTGAGGTTTCAATAGGAGGAGTGCTCACCAAGTTGAATTATTCCCAGTAGATATGGTGAGTTTTCCTGTGGGGAGGGGATCCAAAGTAAGTCATCCAGTAGTGACTGCTCTGTGCAAGGCAAGGATTCCCTACGCAGGTGCATTCTCCTGAAGTTCCAACGGATGTGAGTCCTTTAGAATCTCAAAGGCCTCCAGGAACATTAATCACGGAGACCATGGCTTCTGTGACCACAAATTCGGCATTTATATATACATAACCTCTGGCATCCTCACCTAAATCCATCTGGGGTCCGGTGGAGGGGCGGCAATTTAGGATGGACTGATAAACATATTTGCTTCCTGCTTTGGAAAAGGTTAAAACTGAGAGAGAAAGCTTCACCCAGGGGTGCTATGTGCATAAAAGCTGTCGAGTAGGGATGAAGAAACTACTGCAAACAAGGAGAGGCCTACTCAGTAGAGGACAGAAATGAGCTTCTCAGAGCCTGGGGAAGGTGACTTTCAGGATGGAGAGGAGTGATGAAAGAGGTAGAATGGATTACCTGAGTGAGGGTGAGGTACCTCTCTGGGGGCATGCACAGGCCAAGGAGCAGCCTTTTCCTCCTCGTGGAGGAAGCTGCTACTGTGTGGTATCATTTGGCCCCACCCTGCCTTGCTGACTTAATCTCCTCTGCTCCTGTCCAGCAGGTCTACCAGCAAGCAGGGTTCACAGTCATGCCTCTGTGTACGACTAAAGACTCTTCCCTCTGTCTAGCATGCCCTCATTCTCTTACTCCCTTGGGGTTAGGTGCATCTCACCTACTTTTCAAGACCTAGGTCAGGTTCCACCTCCTCCAGGAAGCCTCCCCTGGCTATTTCTTAAGTCAGGGCAGTTGAGACGGTGGAAGCTTTACAGCAAGCACGTCAAACTCGCGGCCTGCGGGCCACATGCCTCGTTTGTTTGGCCCGTGTTAGCCTTTGAGCTTGACATGCTTGCTTTACAGTCGTCAGAGCAGGGAACTATTTCCTCCTTTGCTGCTTATTGGCGGTGTGAATCTCTCTGAGGTTCCATTTCTTTTTTTGATAAAATGGGAATAACAATAGTACCAGCCTTCTGTCATTGCTGAACCACTAAATCAGGCACTCACTTTAAAGCTGTAAAGTACCTGGAATATAATAAGTGCTCAATCAACAGCCACTTCTCCCAGCTTTGATAATCAGTGCCATGCAATGTTCTACTTGTTTCCTTTGCTTTTGCTTTATCCTCATAGGGAGATTATTAGCATCTTAAGGAAAAAGATCACCTACCGTTTCTCAGTATATGACACTTTTGCATATAGCATACCTACTGGACA